ATTAAAACTCGTTAGTTTACAAGCTTAGCTCTGACCTCTTGAAATGAAAATAACAGGAAAAGCGGAGCAGGTGAACATAATTGTACTTTCCACCAAAGTGACGAAGATATAGAAGTGAAGGAAAATTGCCTTTTCTAAGTAAAATTATTTGTAAGATTATTTGTACTCAACTGTATGCATTTGTACTCGTTTATTTAAAAAAATACATTGTCCAGCATATACATTTTCTCTTGTTTTGATCTGTGACATTAACTTTTTATTAGAATCTCAAAACATTTTTAGGCTTTGCAAGTATAACTTTGTCCCATTGTCGTTTTCCTTCTTGTCTGCTTTCATCTTAATCCTGTCCGAGCTTCAAATTTAAAGTATAAAGTTAAATTTCTAACACATCCCATAAACAATATAGCAGCCAGTGTGGACTGTTGGATTAGGGTCAGCACTGTTGTTAACCAACTAAAAGAAATTATATGTTTTACTAATAGATTTTTATCTTAAACTAGAGGAAATAGTAAACATGGCCACCAAGATGTTTGCGCTATTTTAAATGCACCATTTTGACTTTTTATCAATTAAAGTGTCCTGACAATGTGACGAATACCCAAGAAGCACATTTTGGACACTTTGTACAGTTTAACACAATATACACTCGTGAGTAAAATCAAAGGAAATATGTGCCCACAACATCCACAAGTAGCTTCCTCTTAAAAGAACAATAAGAAAAACAAACAAAAAACAGGCAGCTCCAGATCAGAGGCATCCGCACATAGTATGTGGACACCGTTTAAGATTGTACAGGCTTGTGACAGAGAGAAAGAAAAAAGTTATTTAGTTTTGTCTGAGTCATCTCAGGCTGAGAAAAGATCATCTGTATACTTACAGAATCATTTCTGCATTTTCTTTCATAGTGTAGAAGTACGTGCAGTGCTTTTTATGTTCTTGTCTCATTGCTATGATCTGTAAGCTGAACTTTTGTAGGAACCTGTAAAGATTTTAATGAAGTTTTTGGTGACACTGTTGATTTCTTCTTTGCTTGTGTGCACCTTAGACCCATCCAAGAATCAAATTCCAAATATATGTTAAAATGCTATTGCAGACCATCAACAGTATAGGTATGAGAGCAAACTGTGAAAAAAAAATAGATTTGATCCATTAACTTCCTTACAACTTAGACTAAATAAAATTATACTGATTTTAGTTATGCATTTTAGCTAAAATGACTAAAAGGAGTAATGATGATCTTGGAGATCAAATTCCCAGCCCTTTTTCCTGAAGTAAGACCTTAAATCTTCCTGATATTGTCTGACTCACATCCTAATGGCAAATTAAGACAGCAGATTAAGAATACTGTACATGTCTGGACAATTCAAGTCACACTGCTCGTACTATGATCCTCATATGTTATAAAGATCCGATAAGTTGAAAAGAGTTGGGGGTTTTTAAAATATATTTTAATTTATATTACTTACACCATTATTTCCTATGCTGACTCACTGCTTGTTTGCTCTAGGCTTAGTGAAACTGTGATGCAGTTTGTCAGCTCAAGCTTTTTTTTAATGATTTTCAATCAAAATTATGTTGTTTTTATACACAAATAAATGTCTATTAGTGAGGTAATTGTAACATTCTGTGCAAAAAATCATTTAATCAAAAAAGCTTGGTGTAAAATGTGACAATATTTTTGTATTTCTTTCTCTTTCAAGCTGTAATGAGTGTATGCATACCTGGCTTTGAGAAGAACTACATCGTGTAGATTTAAGTTTTACTCTTCCCTGTGGACAACACAACCATGTTTTAATGTTTACTGCTGGTTTTGAACCGAGAATCCTTGTTGACCTCTGTGGTTATAAAACTCTTTCAAAGGTGACTGCATAAACTTCAAATAGCATGCTGTTTCAGAGCAAAAAAGGAAAAAAAAACAGTTTGTTTTTCAGATTTTCCTGTAAAAACGGCTGTCTTTAATGGGCAAATCTGTAAAGTGTACGCAGGAAGCTGGAGTTAGGTTCACATATAATTTGCTGCTATAACTACTCTTATTTGGTCTCCTGTTGACCACTTTTCTGTCTACCGTTTAGATACACGCAGTAATTGAATAATACAATTTTCCCCTCAGTGGGTGAGTCTAAATTTAGTGAGAACCTTCATGAACTGCTTATCTAAACCTTCATTTCTGTTACTAGTTACTACTTGTGTTTACTAAATAAATTTATTAACAAAATTTATAAACTGATTTATGTGTGAGTTTTTGTGTGTGTGTGTGTGCCTGTATATGTATTTGCCACTATGCAATCGGTCATTCTCAAAGTTTATTAAAAATGTAAGTAATTTCAATAAAACTATTGTAAAACTGATTTAGGAAGATTAAGACTCCTAGATATAATTGAGAAAAATATATTTTTGGTTTTAACTGCGACTTTACACAAGTGACCTTGAAGATGTTAAATTTCATAGTCAGTCTAGGTGTATGTCTCGATATTCACCCCACAGTATGTGCACAGTTACCCTTTTCTCTAAATCCTCTAAATTCCTTCAGTCTAACGGTGAGTCTTCTTCTAGATTGCAATTACAGTCTTCTACATAAAACACAAACCAATCTGTATTAACTCTAAATGTTTAGAATAAAGAAAACATTTAAATATACTGAAATCATCGTATTGCAGTAAGGTCTTGTGTTATTATCTGAGTGAAAAGTGATCAAGGTAGGTCAAGTCCTCCTTAAAACAATACTTTTCTCAAAATTATTTTTCCCATATATTTACTTTGTTGCTTCTAGTAACATTAACCTGTACCTCTCATATGTTAACACGTTCCTCAAGAGGCTCAAGACAGGAACATTTTGAGAGTTAGCGATCAGTGAGCCTCGTGGTGCCTCATTCTTTAGCTCCATAGGATTTCAATGCACATAATTTTTAGGCTTTGATTGAACTTTAGTCGAGGCCTCATTTAAAGTTAGACTGTGAATTATTTCAAATTGAATGTTTCAGAGAATAATATTTTTATGTCGTTCAGACATATTATTTATAAAAATTTTACAAGAATTGATCCTAAATTTGTTTGGCTAAGGCCTGTGGCCTTTGTTTCCTGATATGACACTAATGGCTTTTAAAATCTTTCACATTGTTCCAGCTGAACTTATACCTCCAGAACAAATAATGCTGGTTACATCTGTGCGGTGGCAGGTAAGTGAATTTCCAATAAATCTTGAATGTATATTAACTGTCTCTGTTGCCTGCTCTTGGGCCTACTACTGAAAAAATTATGTGTCCCACAAAGCAACATTTACAGTAATGGAGGACATAACCTGCTACAAGAGCAGAAATTATCCTGCCCAAACAAAACTTAAAATCAAAGATTAAGATTTGCTGCTAATAAATTCACCTTAAAGTTCTATATTTTCTTCTAGGTTTACCTTGACTAATTATACATTTTGATACGTGGTGCACACGTGGTAAAACCCATGAAAAGGCAAAGTTCAAAATGTCTTAAATGTTAAAAAATTGCAGCAATTTCTAGTTCTGTTTTTTTTTTTCTCTTCCCAAATATTTTTTAGAACCATTATAACTATAAGAAAAAGTCATATGTTGTTTTTATGCATTAGTCCTTTAAGTTTTGAGATAAAATGTACCCAGAAGAAAACTCAGTCAGGAGCCTCTAATTTTTGTTGCAAGTGTCAGTGAGGGAGTTTTAATGAAATATTCTGTGTGTTGCTGTAGCTACTGATAGTGTTTTTTGAGGCAAATATAATTTTGTAGTCTCTGAAGGAAAAGGCCTCATGTGGACTCAGTATATAAGTAAACTCACATTCAAAATGTTAAATACATCAGACAACACATGAATTACAATACAATGGATCTGAAACAGTTGATGAAAGGACTGTAGTTTCTGGATGAGTTGTTATTAATAGAAAGATTAAACAATAAAACAGCAGCTACATATTTTGTCATGTTTGTCTGCATCTGTGCTTTCTTGTTTGTAAGAAGAGAAGTTATAGTTATGAGAAAATACAAGCATACATTTTAAAAAGCGTATTTATTTGGCTACATGTGGTTTAAAATGATCCACCCCCACCTTCAGCCACATACACACACACACATACACACACACACACACACACACTGCTTAATCTTTTTTCTTATCCTTACCTCAAACACTTTTATTTAACTTTTAATTTCATAAAAATTAAATCTTTGAATTTTTCAAAGCTGTAAGCTATAAGGGATCACTACTTTCACAAAATGGTTTACCATCTGCATTATTGTAAAACTCTCTGATTAGTGTTTCTCTTCACACTCACATGCTGCTTCTTTAAGTTGCATCAGACCTAAATTGCTTTTTCCACAAATTCCAAAATAATGTTATTTGGTAGTTAGAACACGGTTAAATTTTTATTTATTTATTTTTTATATGATAATCACTAAAAAAATAATTTAAATAATAATTTCATTGCCCCATGTTACAAAACCAAATAAATACTGACTGAAATAATATGACAGTGTGATTTAATTAAAATAAGATATTCAATTATTTATGATTAAAAGCAAATGATAATATTTAGTTTTTTTTAAACATGGTTATTTGTGCATACCTGTGTTCATGAATGAATGATAATGTTAAAAGTCCGCTTGTTCACTGTTACTGTTTTAGACTACGTTACATGTTGGGAAAAAATAAACAAGATAGTACTTCAGCAGATTTATTAATAAGTGTGTGTGTGTGTGTGTGTGTGTGTGTGTGTGTGTGTGTGTGTGTGTGTGTGTGTGCGTGCGTGCAGTGAGAGGGATGATGACGAGAGATCAAGTAGAAGAGAGAGTGTGAGAGTGAGTCAGTAACTGTACAAAAGCATCAGTATACGAGTGAGAATTTACTTGTGAAATTGTGTATTCCTGACATATGCAAACACTTGCGAGAGAGTAGTGTGTGTGTGTGTGTGTGTGTGTGTGTGTGTGTGTGTGTGTGTGTGTGTGTGTGTGTGTGTGTGTGTGTGTGTGTGTGTGTGTGTTTACCGTCATCCATTAACTGTGAAGACAAAGTGAGGAACAGTTTGTTATCACGTCTGATTCAACTTGTTCGTGAACATCTCCTGTTTTGGAAAAAAGAAAAAAGAGAAAAGAAATATTTATTTAAATAAAGTTGAGGTATGAGACTAAGCTATAGTTTGACTTTATAGTTTGAACTGACTAAATTAAAAAGTAAAGTGAAGTTACTCTATTAAAAGTTGTTTTGTATCATCGACAGTTCAGTCCTCAAAGTAACAGCTGCAAAACAGGAAAACCATTAATAGCTCCTGTCTGTACATATGCATGTGTGCATGTGCATGTGCATGTATGCCCATTGATGGGACAGCATCAGTGAAATATTTCAAGGAATAATTTAACCCGCTGACGTAAGTGTTTGCATGGGTTAGAGGAAGAAAGGCTCGGATGTGAAATTTTGTCTATTTATATTTGTGCATTTGCGTGCGTCTGTGTGAGAATTAAATGGATTGTATGCTGTGATGCTTTATTCATCTCTGTCTATGAAGCCACAGAGACACCCTCAGAGTGCTGTTGACGTCCGGACATGCACTGGTGTGTGTGTGTGTGTGTGTGTGTGTGTGTGTGTGTGTGTGTGTGTGTGTGTTTTTGTCTGAGTGCATGTGTTCCTCCCTCCTTCCTACTTTGCTGAATCACTTTTCATGACCACCTATTTGGACAAGCAATTTTTTTGACTCACTTGACAAAAAAAGCAGATCTGTGTTGGTTAGGTGAGGCTAGACAACAGATAAAAGCCTCAGATTCAAAGTCAAATACATTGTCAATAAAAGTGTCGCTCAGTGCTCCCCTAACCAGACAGAAGGGTGGAACAAGGTGGTGGAAAGGCGGCTACAGGACATGCAGACGAGGTGATCTAAACTGTGCCTTTTTTTCCTTTACTATTACATGGATAAATGTCTACACAGAGCCACACATCTTTTTAAAAATATGCCAACTTTATACCAAACAACCTTAAATTTAATAGACATTACTGTCAAATTAATAGTTTTATCATGGTTCTCAAAGGTAACAAAGGCTCAAATTGCCCTTCTTTTATCAAAATAATCAGCTGTAAAAAAACAACAAGAGTATTTTCCACATTTTTTAGATGAGCCTAATCCAAAAAAGGAGTTGTTTTTATTTTCCAGAAAAGGGTGTTTTTCTTTTGCTTGTTAGCTGTAAGAAAGCAAATGCTGACCAAGAGTCTGTGCCATGATGATCAAGGATTTGAGCAAGAGAGCTGCTTCATATGAGGAGCATGTTATTTATGTACTCTAACTGGGACATACATTAACATAGACTAATCAAACACATATCTTGGGTACCCCTTATGCTTACTGAAACAAGTACCTGGCATAACTTTACATGATCATGTGAGGTGTTTGCATACGCAGGTATCGTACATGTGTGAGAAGGGGCTTGAAGGTTATAGCCTAAACTAAAGACACAATATTACAGCCAAGGTCTTGATTCACACTCAATCATCCAGGTAAGGAAATCACAGAAAATTGATTCTGCTCATCTGGACGCCGCAGTTTCAGTGGCGAAACCTTTTCGTCACTCATCCAAGAGGCTTCTTCAGTCGCAGCTGACTGCAGCTTTCTCCAGCCTTATAAAAAGTATATTGGCATAATGACCAAAACTAACACCATTGCCTACTAATGGGCTGTGAGTTCTGTTTCATGATCGTTAATATACAAAATGTCATGAAGGGGGGTAATTAGGGAATGGGTGTGCAGCATTGTAAGATGCTAAAACGGGAAAAGAGAACAACCATTCCTGAAAGAGTTCAGTTGAGTTCACCATCTTACAATGCTGGAACTACAGCCATTCCCCAACTCTGCGAATGGCACTCATGGCCATTGATCAGTGGTCATGATGTTTTGGACATCATGACAGTTTCAGTTTCACTGAGCTCACGGCCCATTGTTAGTCAGTCTGCTAGTTTCAGTCATTTTGCAAATATACTGTTGGTCAGGTTGGGAAAACCTGCAGTCAGCTGAGACTGAAGAGGTCACTTGGCAAAACGTTTCTGCAACTGAAAATGCTGCGTCCGCGTGAAGAGAATCAACTTCCTGGGATTACATTTAATCCTTAAACTATCCTGATCAGGGAATACTGTGGATTTAAAATTTGTGCAACACTCTAAACAGGAAATCAAAACACAGGAAATAGTCCCACTATTAGTCCCTTAATAGTTCCACCTGTGAGTCAGATGACAGGAGATTTACACACCTCAGCTGAAGAAGATAGTATCGATACCCACACATAGCCCGGGAAAATAACCTGAGAACTCTCACAATGTCATATAACTCTATGAAACAATACTTGAAAAGTGAATCAGCATGAAGCGCATTTACAGTAATTAGAAATTGTGTTAAAGAGATAAAAACATGACAGCGTGTTTGGACTTCTCATTTCAACTCATATTAAACCATATAACAAATGAAATCTTACTACTCCAGACTCAATACATAATGAAAAAGCTTGTGACAAGGGGAGGAAAAGTCTCAGTAGAGTTGCAAAATAATGATAATGTAATATTTGTAAGTGTAAAAGCTTGTCTTGTCTTTCAAGGCTCAAGTGGCATAACCATGTAAAAGTGTGGATGACATCAGTAGGGAAGCTGAAACAGCTGGATGGTTGCCATAGCATCCAAAGTACTGCATACGATTGACAAATTTAGAAAACCAAACACTTTGTGGATTTACTCATAATGCTTTGATGGAACAGTAAATTTTAGACAGCTCAAACCAAAAGTTCAACCACAGAACTCAAAACAATAGCACACCTGATTACCTCTATTTTTGTAAGTCAACAAAGGTAAAAGAAGGCAAATATTTTTATTAAATGTTATATTTTAGATCCATGAGTAATTTAAAAACTATTTTAGCATTCTAACATGAAGAGAATAAAAATGTTTAAAAAAAACAAAACAATTTCAGCACCAAAGCCACAAACATATCACAGCAAAGAGAACACCTCTAATACTGGAGCGTGTGTAACTTTTGACATTTACAGATTACAGTCCCAGAATTTCATCCTCATCCTCACTTAAGACAAAATAGCAACCTGTGGCACAAAAAGATGAGGCCAACAGAAAAGCGCCAAAATCTGCAGTTGTTTGAGTCTTCACTTGAAGCTGCCTTCCAATTCAAGTCAGCCCTCACAGACTCCCATGGGAAAAAAAAGTCTGTTTATAGCATAGTAGCACAGACACAATTAGGACTCAAATTTATGGGTGTACCTCCTTTAATTGATAAGTTGCTAACACACAGCTGTAGGTCCATGGGTCATTGAACTGGACCTCTGTGATGATTGTGATGGGACCCTTTAGAGGATTTTTAATGGAAACTTTCTTAAAAAAAATAAAATGGCTTGCTGAGTAGTAAAGCCTGTACAAGAAGTTTATGCTTCACTTTTATTGAATGAAACACTTGCATTTTGCTACATTGTTACTTCGCACTAATTGGCAGACTTGTGTGCCTCTGCATTAAACTCATATTTTCAATGAATGTGTTGTGTGGTGTTATCTGTTTAAGTATATCCGGTTTTATGGTGAAAAGGTGTTGGGTACCGGAAGTGACAAATAAAGGTCGAAGTTGTTTGCTCTACAAGGTGTCGTCTCTTTCCCTACCGAAAACCACGACATGGTGTCAGGAGTGGGATGGATGTAAGTGCCTTATCATCGGGGAGTGACAGCAAGCGACTTTGGGAGTGATAAAGAGTTTTCTCGAGACGAAAGATGTCGGACGAAGAAGCGGGAGCTAGCGCAACAGTTACGCGGCCTCGCACGCCACTGCCCCACCAGCGAGCTAACGGCGGCTACAATGCTAACGCCAACCTACCCCCGAATGCCACTTTCACCATCCAGCCCCCCGAGCTGTTCGATTTCTCGAAGCCACAGCATTGGGAAAAATGGATAAGGAGGTTTGAAAGATTTCGACTCGCAAGCAACCTACACCTTAGCTCCGAGGCTAACCAGGTGAACACTCTCATCTACTGCATGGGGGATGAAGCAGATGATATCCTCCGAGGACAAGCGTTATCTGACATACAGAGACAGCAGTATCAAGCAGTAAGAGACACTTTGGAGATGTACTTTGTTCCCAGAAAAAACATTATCTACGAGAGAGCCCGCTTTAATCAGAGAACACAGCAAGCTAATGAAACTGTAGACTCGTTTGTCACTGCACTTTACGCTTTAGCGGAAAACTGCAGTTATGGTGCGCTGCACGATGAGTTAATAAGAGATCGCCTCGTCGTGGGTCTGAAGGACATCAGCCTAGCGGAGAGACTTCAAATGGACAAAGATTTGACGTTAGAGAAAGCGGTTAACCAAGCCAGGCAGTTGGAAGCCATCAAGAAGCAGCAGTCGGACATCAGAGGGGAAAATAAAATGGAAATAGACGCTGTGTCAGCTAAGCACAAGGAACAAAGGCATTCAACGTTCAAACCCCGTGGAGATCGCAAATACACATCAAAGGACAAAACATCTAATGGGAGATCATGCTACAGGTGTGGGAAAACCCCTGCACATGGTAAAGATCAATGCCGAGCGAAAGATGTATTTTGTCACTCATGTGGTAAAAGAGGTCATTTCAGTAAAGTGTGTAAATCTGTTAAATCTGTGCATGTGATAGAAGCCGAAGAAAGCGATGTTACACCCGTGTTTCTTGGTTCTGTAGACGTAGGCTCAGATCCTTGGTATGCAGATCTCACTATCAGAAACCACAAGGTCAGATTTAAGATAGACACAGGAGCTGACGTATCTGTTATCCCTGCCCAGACGTTTTACAGCATAAACCAGAACGAGACAGGGTTATGCAAACCAGATAGATCGTTGTTTGGTCCGAGTGGTTCCCCACTTGACGTGTTGGGTATGAGCAGAGAAACACTTTGCAAAGGTGAACAGGGAATACAGGAAAATGTGTACATTATCATACATTTGCACGTAGCACTGTTAAGCAGGCCGGCGAGTGTCAAGCTGAACCTAGTGTGTAGAGCCGACAGTATTGACATGAATGTGCTGCACGAAAAATACCCGAAACTGTGTCAGGGTTTAGGC